TTTAAAATTTGGTGGGAAATTAAAGGAACAGTGGGACGAAGATGGTCTTCATTAAGGTTGTTATTTTAATTAAAGGCCTCAGGGTCGGCTTCAGAATATTTTAGGTTTAGTTGTACTATAATGCAAACAGATACTGATTTTCTAATGTGGTAAGTGCTTCACAGCCTCATACAGAAACAGTAAATTCCACGTTCCAATGTGTAGTTTCATCATATCAAGCCGGAGGACTTTTAAACCCTCCCAAGATGATTCTTTTTCTTAATATTGTTCCGAAGCTATTTTCTTGTGGCATTTTAAATTACTTACTATTTAACTGGGAATAAGCCGCAATTAAAGATAAAAATACGTTTATTGACGTTTCAATTTCCACTTCGGAAATCGTTCTCAAAATACAATAAACGTCAATAAACGTATTTTTATCTTTAATTGTGGCTTATTCCCAGTTGAATAGTAATTAATTCTTTTTCTTGTTATTATAAGTTTGAAAAAGATGGACATATATTTTCTTCTCCCTTATTTAGTAGGACTAGGTGCTCTGTAAAGTGGTATTTCTTGGCCCTTTGTTCGCCAGACGTAATTGGCTGAAGTGTTTTGCAAAACTTGAGTCTTCCAAATCTCACGTACTCTGATTTGACGAATAGTGATTTTTGATTGTACAGGGTGTATCCGATTGAAAGTGTTCGCCATACTCACGCTCTGACCGGTCCCTGCGGGATCCTTGATTCCGCGCACCTGTGCAGTTATTATCCTTTCGGGTTTTCCTTTGTCATTGTCATTGTTTCCTACTCATCCAGCTAATTCAACAACCATCGAACGAGATGGTCATCTGCGTCCTCAAAGGTATCAAGGTCGGCTTCAGAGTATTTTCTGTTTAGTTGTATTATAATGCAAACAGATACTGATTTGCTAATGTGGTAATTGCTTCACAGCCTCATATAGAAACAGTAAATTTCACGTTCTGTGTAGTTTGTGTAGTGAAGAATACTCAAGATACCGTGGAGCAGCAGATCCAAAAACGAAGAAGTTCTTCGAGGAATAAGACATCAACGAACTCTATTAAACATCATTAAAAGACTTAAACTAGAATATCTTGAACGTATAATCAGAAGACCTCGATATGAGTTTGTTAATTTGTTTCCGCTAATTCTGATGGAAAAATTGAAGGAAAGAAATGGATAGGACGGAAGAAACGCTCCTGCTCAAGAAATTTGCGACAGTCGATAGGTTTAACAACAGACCAATTCTCAAGTACTCAAGTATATTCACAATACTCAAGTAGCCCAAATCCGAGATAAATATAGGAATATTGTAAGCATGGTAGTCGCCGACGCTCCAAGGAAAAGGGCACTCAGAAGAAGGTTTTGTTTATTCCTTGATGTTTTGCCATCTAAGTCATCCCACTGCAACCTTCGTACCATTTTTTGATGGTTTGAGTACTAATCTCAGCATGTTTGGCTTCTGAGTCTAAGTCCATCACGTCATTTTCTCTTCTGGAATCATATCAACATAATAATTGTTGGCTGCTTTCTCCCCACAGCTGGCTAAATCAATGATCCGCTGATGCTTATTTATTATGCACACGAAAAACCTCTTATGATTATCCTCTTCGAGAAATGTTTAGAGCGTTCCTATCAGTTAATGTGACGTACCATGTCGAGTTTAAGGACTTCCCAGTTCAGCGTATCTTCGTTGAAATGTTGAAGAGCCTTTACTCACTTCAAACTCCTCTACTTAAACCGAAACAAAGAAGTATCAAGAGACAGACATGCACACCTGGAGAGAGGGAAGCTATTAAATATAATAAAACAAATAATGTAGTAATGATCGATTATCACAGAACTAGACAAAAATCGTTCAGCGAGCCATCTTTACAAGTTTTGAAACAGATAAATATCAGTAAAAACACATTTGGAGAATAGAGAATGAATGAGGCATCAATCTTATGGGTCGTTCACGATTGATCCGATCAAAGATCGAAATGTGATCTGAGGTCCACAACTGTTACTCTTCTTAAAAGAATCTAGTATCTAGAAACGCCAGTATCTATTTGTGAGAAGTTTATTTTTAAATTAGTAAGACGGTGGTACTTCCATCAGTAAAGATTCAAACAATCCGAGAAATTCACTACTCACCCAAGTCTATTAAGTAATCCAGACCCGTTTATTCGGGTCTTCAAAAAGACTATTGCATTAAAATCACCTCTTGAACTGTAGCAGACTGCAATGGCAGACTTATATGTACGTTATCATGGTGGAAAACGTTTTGTTCGTTAGATATCAAAAAGACGTGAGCACTGTGGAGGGAAAGGTAATTTGGATCATATATTTTTTGGTTTCATTAAACATGACATAAACTCATCAATCAACCGCGTTTTTACCTTGTTTAAGCTCTATGCTTCTTCAAGGATGGGTTTATTGTTTGGGTGCTTATGCTTGTTTGGTTTGAATGCTAGTTTTCGCTCATACAACCTCGGATTCCCGAGAGTAGGGGCGCCGCCGCTAAAGAAATGTATCGGAAGAGGGATAGGGAAGGATGCCGAGAACAAGAAGAAGAGAAGAGGTGGGAAAAAAACCCGGATCTTCCGGAAGAGTTAGCCTAGTGAACCAAGCCTGTTACGAAGTACAAGTTCCGTGGAAAAAACGATTTCTTTCAGATTGTTGGCCATTTTTTGTTTGTTGGAAAACGCGTGGAGGATAGCTGTGGCTATATCCTCACCTAGGATCAGGTATCATTGTGCAATGAGATTGGGAAACCACAGAAAACCAATCTCCCCCTGTCCTTGTGATATTTAATCGACTCTTAAGGAGTGTGTAGGGTGCTCACAGTGTAGGTGATGTGTTAGATGTTTGTGGAATTTGTGTGTTTACTGGTTAGAGTGTGGTGTGGGATTTAGGTGTTTATTATTTAGGATTATGAGCGGAGTGGAGGTAAAGTGTGTATAGGATCGATGTTGTGTTAGGTACATGTGTGTGTGAGGATGTGTATGATGTGTCATCATACACATCATATGATGTGATGACATATTAATAATTTTGGAATAATTGTATTTTGTCTATCGAAATATTGCTCATAACGATAAAGGTTTTTCGAAATTTGCGAAATCTCTGTATTTTTATACTATCTTTCAATCCTCGTATAGAACTGAAGAATTAGCAATCTAAGATACTGCTTAGTTCTACTGTATGCAAACATTTAACCGCATATTAAATATTTTATAATTAATAATAAAACGTTTCAAACATCTGTCGAAGTCGGTTCTGAATTTGGTACAATAACGGACGTAACGGTACGTAATATTCGAAAAATTAATGTTAAAATAGAAGATATTAATTATCCGTAATTTGATCGAGAAGTGTGACTATGGGATTCGAGCTGTACATCTCATTGTTTAAAATGACAGTTAATAATAATTTATGATGACCACCTTTTACTATTATGCTAGTATAATTGTGAAGGTCGGCCCACTTATCTAGCCAAATGTTGTTGATCGAAGATTTTTTGGACGTAATACGAATAAAAGGTAACAAAATATAATACCGTGAATATTTCCCCCTTTAACAGCTTTAATAACGTTTTTAAAGAAATACCAATAGTCAATTGGAAATCAAATCTTTAAAAAAGAGTACAGTATCGAAAGTAGAAGATCCCAGACATTGTTGGTGCTTTAACGATCCAAAAAACATATTTTTTTCTTTGTCCTATTTAATTCAGCTGATTGTCGATTCTTGAAGGGTGACACAAGCGTCTCACAGAATTTCTTTTTTCGATTGGGCGGATTACATCATATGATTTAAGCTGTGGCATAATTCCAAAGGAAATATTCGAGGTTTACATCGAGGATAACATCGAAAATACCAGGAACCAATGAAGTCAATCAAATTGACCACATCCTCATCTCAAAAAGATGGGTAACAGGCATAACTAATGTCAGAACGTATCGCAGGGCGAACTCTGACTCAGATCACTATCTTGTGGGGGCAAAATTGCGGGAGAAAACGAGACATTGAAAAAAAGGAAAAATAGCCAAATTAAAAAATGGAATGTTGAAGGATTTAAAAAAAAACAAAGACACAAGAATATCAAAATACTCTCCAAATAAACCGCAACGGAATCAGAGAGAAAAATACTGCAGAGGAAGAATGAAAACAATTAAAAACAAAGCCAAAAGGCAAAGAAATGCGGAATAGTATGATGAATGCAGAACTGCAGTAGAGGAAAAAGAAGATGTTAGAGTGGAAGGCACTAGGAAGGTGGAAAAAAGGAAGGCCCGGGACGAGATGGTTGCATGACGTGGAAGACGACCTGAAAACCATGAATATAAGACAATGGAGGAGAAGGGCCCAAGAGAGATCTGAATGGAGGGACATAGCCAGGCTAGCAAATACCCATCCAGGTTTATGATGACAAAAGAAGAAGAAGATCTGTCCTAAAAGCAATCACATCTAGTTAATGCTCCTTTCAATAGACTTTGTAGGATTTATGGATACTTTGGAGGATTTATTAATACTTTTGAAGTACTTTTTGCGGAACCCTTTGCGGAGCATTGTCTTTAACTGAGAATACGTAACTAAATCTTGTTTCATATAAATGCTTTCTTGATCCAATGCCTACTTCTTCGTGAAGAAAAAATTCAAAATGAAATAATATTCCTTAATTTGTATTAACCTTCACATATACATTAATGTTTCACTCATATACTTAATGAAATAAATCTAGCGTTTGTAAATTATTCACGCCTATGTATTTTGGGACTCGTAGCTTAGTGTTCTGAAAATGTATCCTATCTTATTTTTAACATACACTATAGGAAATTTCCAAATTATTTCGTCAAATATACTGGAGAAACAGCTGTGTAAATTTGTAAAGGAATAATTATACTTTAATCTGTTTGGACCAAACAAATAGAAGGAATTTATATGTTGGTCGTTAAATTCTTTAACAGCACCAAAACATTTTAAAGAACCAAATAGTTATAATATATATGAATAATATGAACTTACCCATCTCCATCTAAAGTGATCTGAGTGTTAGCCAGCACTCTAAGGACTAGACCAACGGTAGTTCTTTCGTTGCAATCGATGCCTAAAAGACACGATTCTTCTCCTCTCGCTCCCATCCTTGAGACAACAACTAAGTACCTCGTCCTTGTTGGATGAACACTTTCTAGTTTCACGGCCTGTAACAAAAACAAAGATTTAGAAAATATTTCAAATTGTTTAAGGTAATTTCAACAATTTTAGGTAGAACATTTGGATGTGTGCAGATAAATTAAATTGTAGGAGTTAGTCTAATAAATATATTTGCAGGATGAAGTAAATAAAATGTTATAAATTAATTGTGTTTTTAGTGTTAGTATTAAAATACTGTTCTTTATCCTTTTGTGAATCTCCACATCTCCTTCTGCAATCCTTAAAACTCATGCTGTATATTTAAGGAGAACTTTTTTAACTATTCTATTTTCCTAAAGTTTTCTGTATAATTATAATTTAAAAAATAAAATATGATTTTTAAAATATCAAATACTAAGAATTATGAACCACAATCTAAGTTCTTGTCAAAGTGTGCGTTTAAATTTCGAATTTCCGAGCCAAGAACTAAAAAGGTTCGAAAACGGAAACATAATTAATTAGTATCGACAAGTAATATTCTTTAAAACGGGTAAAAACAACTCAAAGCTGCTTTAATTGCGGTTTTCAATGTTAATATCAACGGCGAGCGTCTCCTAAAGAGGAAACTTAACTTCTTTCCTTACTGTTGGTTGGTTGTTAGTTGTTTACATCGACTTTTAACAGTTCTTGTTTTTATACCGAATCATATAAACTAGACTCGGTTCCTTTACGTAGCATGCACAAAAGTAATGCAAACTTTCTTTTCAATTAAATCTACTATAGGATGAATATATAATATGAAATCTATTAATAAAAATATTGTTTTAGTGATTATATATAATTTACTATTTTTACTTGGAATAAGCCACAATTTTAGTTGAAAATAAGTTTATTTCGAAGTCGTTCTCAAAATACAAATACAAATTAAACAAATTTTATTTTTGTTACTTGGTACTAAAAACCACTTCTAATAATTTAACTTTATCAGCCTCATTAATATTGACAATTCATACATATGTACATTTTAAAGTAAGTAAATGACTATCAAATGATTTTCAATATTTTTGAGTTGCGTTCCTGTGACGACTTTATTAGAAGATAGTTTATTCGATTACATGAAATCAACTTTAACTTAAGAATATCCGTCAGAAAAATTATCGCAAGTGATTTGTATTTAAAACGACAACCACATGCAATAATGAAAGTAAAATTATCCACTTGGTGATCTCGTAAATCATGAAAAAAAACCAGGAAAAAACTTATCCATACTATCTCGATATGGTAGGTATTTGGCTTTACTTTTAGTTTATTCTCAATATTAATATAAAACTCGAATTTTATATGTATGATATTTTAAAAACATAAACGATGTGTTATCGATATGAACATATTGTTACGCCAGCCCGCATGCCACGCTCCCTACGCTCCTGATCAAACATTTGACTGTAAATAAATTAAAATAAACATTGCATTGGTGTCAGAAGTGGGATATTTAAATAAATGCGTGTTAGCGATTTACAACGGGAACTGGAAGATATAGAACTTAATTCTGTTGGAAAAAAGGCTGAATTTGTCCAACGGCTGAAGAACGCCCTGGAAGATGGTTTTGATTCAGAAACATGTCTTTGAGAACAAGCCTGCTGCTGTGATTTCGTCGATTCCGAAAGTCTCTGATGATATCACGTCGTTGTAAAGCAAAGTTTCTTTATTAACAAAGTTTCTACGAAAATTGTTTCTTTAGAAAATCACTTGTCACTTCTGACATTTATTTGAATGTCACTTCTGACATTTATTTCCTTGATGATAAAATATCTTCGTTAGAAAACAAAGTTGCTACCGATATTTCGTCTTTTGAAGAAGAGATAAAAGAAATTTAAAAGAAGATAAAGGAAACAGGGACAGCAAACAAGAATTCGATCAATTACTTTTAGTAGGTAGTGACAAAAGAGGTTCTGTTCGTGTTAAAGTCTGAACTTTCGACGGAAAATCGTCATGGAATAACTACACGAAACGGTTTGAATCAGCTGGATGGGTGAATGGATGGTCAGAAAAATAAAAAGCTGTAAATATGACTATTGTTCTTCGAGGAGATGTCTGTAGTGTGCTTCAGACATTAGCCGTAGAGGAGACAGCTAATTTCAAACAACTGAAGAGGTGGCGATATGGTTACGAACACTTGGAACATGTCTACCAATCACTGTTCAAAAATCGAAGTCAAAAGGGAGATGTGGCTTTTCAAGAATATGAGGTAGATATTGCCAGGCTAGTGCGATATGCTTATACAACAGCTCCTGAAGACATGATGGAAAAGTTCGCTGTTCAAACAATTATTGTTTGTTCTTAGTGATAATGAAATTCAAAGAACACTGCGATTAGCTTGTCACAAGACGCTGATCGATGTCCTGTCTGCCGCCCTCGAATATGAATCAGCTACGCAAACCTCTGATGGGTACAGTAAAGTTAGGACTGTAAAAGAGGAAGAAGATGAAGACAAATTTGACCAGCTTGTTAATCATATGAAAGGCATTATATTCAACAAAACGAAGAGCATAAGCTGCTGTAATTGGGGTGAAATGAGACTCGCACGAAGTTCAAGCAAGCACCCTAGGTGCAATGCAAATCAAGAAACTCGCCAGCAGAAACTACTAGAACGGGTAAAACTTAGGGTGGCAGCTTCGAGCCGGAACTAAAGACCATCTCATACTAAGATCTTGTTTAAAATGTCGTGAAGATTACCTTCAACTATCATTTGCTCCATGCCTTCTCGTCTTCTAGTTATATGTCCAAAATATCTCCTATTTTGGTTGATAGTTAAAGTTCTGCTAGAATTGAGTTATTTCTGCGTTGGGCGGTCCATGGTATACGCAACATTCTACGGTAGACCCACATTGCAAATGCCATTATACGCTTTGAATCGGCTTTTTTTATTGTTCAAGTTCCTGAAGCATAGGTGGCGATGGGAAATATCAATGTTCGAACAAGGCGTAATTTTTTGTTTTTTGTGATGTCAGTGCTCCTCCAAATTTTTGTGAATTTGGCTGTTGCCGATCTGGCCAGATCGGCAATGCTTCGCATCCTCCACTATAAGGAATAAGGGAAGCTTAAGTTATTAAATTGTGTGACTATTTCGTAACCTGCCAAGTTACTTATCTCTGCTTGGTTGTAATTCTATCGATGACCATCACTTTGGTTTTCTGCATGTTTATTTTCAAACCATACTCCGTACTCACCATGCGTAGTCTATTCATAATTTATTCCATATATATATATATATATATATATATATATATATATATATATATATATATATATATATATATATATATATATATATTGAATAGAATAGGAGATAGTATGCATCCCTGTCGAACTCCAGATTTTAATTTAAAGTTTTTCGAAACCACATTATTAACTCTTACATTTGCAGTATTATTTACATATAGTTTTTGTAATAAATAGATTTAGATGTTCTGTTCCAATTGCCGCCTCAATTTCTAAAATCAACATTTGAGGTTCTTTTTCATAACTTCTTTTCTCTGTATTATTGTCTGGGTCGTTGTTAGAGAATAGTATTTTACAATATTGTAAATTACCTCTGCGATACCGTCTGGGTTTGTTATGGTATTTCCACTATTAGCTTTATTATTAATAATTAGCGTCAAGAATTTAGCGAGAATTATCTTCATTCAGATTTCTCTTGTGCCCTTCTTCTCCATTGTCTTATGTTCATTGTTTTCAGGTCGTCTTCCACGTCATCCAACCATCTCGTTCTGGGCCTTCCTTTTTTTCGCCTTCCTATGGGCTTCCATTGTAACATTTTCTTTGTTATTTTTGCATCGTTTTGTCTCTGCACATGTCCCAGCCATGGCAGTCTTTGACTTTTCACAAATCTTACAATGTCATAACCTTCATTTAACTCATTAACCTCGTCTTTTCTCCTGATTTTCCATGTGCCATCTTCCTCTTGTACCGGGCCATATACTTTCCTCCGTATTTTTCTCTCGAATGTCCTGAGTTGGGCTTCATCTTTTTTCGTCATTACCCAAGTTTCACATCCATAGGTTCCTACGGGTCTAATCAGTGTTCTGTAGATAGTCATTTTGGTTCTTTTGTCTAATAATTTCGATGTCATCAATCTTTTATTAGCATAGTATGTACGATTCCCGCTGGAAATACGTGCATTAGTTTCGCTACTTACGGAGTTCTTCTGATTGATTTCTGTGCCGAGATATGTAAAGGCATCCAATCGTTCGATAGTATAGTTGTCTATTGTGATATTATTTTCATTGTCACTTATTCTTTTGACTGTCATATACTTCGTTTTTGCTTCGTTTATTTTGACACCTCTTTTTCTTGCTTCAGAATCAATTTGTTTGAACACTTCAATTAGTCGTGGCTTATTCCTGCGGTTATATTGGTTTTTCTGATGACTGCCTCAAGAACTAGGTTAAATAGCATGGTTGATAGGGCATCTCCCTGTCTTACTCCCATGTTGATGTTAAACATGGGAGTCAGTTCTTCATCTACTCTGACTGCGGCTTTTGAACCCTGCAACGTCATTTTTATGAGGCTGATGTATTTCTTAGGTATACCTAGATTACAAAGGTCTTCCAGCATTATGTCTCTTTTCACACTATCAAAAGCTTGTTTAAAGTCTATATACATATTATATAGGTATATGTCGTATTCATAAGCTTTTTCTGGTATCGTTCTTAGTATGAATATGTTATCTGTAGTGGCTCTATTTGGTCTGAATCCATTTTGATAATCACCAATTATATTTTCGGAGTATTCTAATAATCTATTGTAGATTATACCAGAAAGAATTTTGTATATTACATTTAGCAGTGTAATTGACCTATAATTCTGACATTCCCTCTTATCTCCTTTTTTATACATTGGCTGTATGAGGCCGACTGTTCATTCCTCTGGCATTTGCTCCTTCGTCCATATTAATGTTATTAGGTAATGGATTCTTTCCCTGAGTTCGGATTCTCCATGCTTTAATAATTCTGTCGAAATTCCGTCCATTCCTGATGCTTTATTTTTTTTAGTTTATTTATTATCT